CTATACTTGAGACCTTAGAAGTTATATATCAAGGTGGGTGGCTTGTTGAGTACGTATTTCATTACAAAAATTGGTACCCGCCTGATATTCGAACACCGGTGCATCGCTCAACACGATTGCACCGGACGTCCGTTAGGCCACGACGACTTTAAAAATATAAAATAAAAAATAAATAAAAAATATAAAAATTTCGGCGTTAATTTTTCGCGGCGAAAACAACTAAACTCATTTAATCACTGCACTATTCGCCGCGACTACCGCTCGACTCCGTGGCTCGCGCCGTCCGTATTCATGCATTTGTTTTGCTCGCCCGCCGCATCGCGCGATTCGCTCGGTACATTTCGCCGGTCGCTTCGCCGGTCGCCGGTGCGCGTGGCTTGTTAGGTACATTTCTATGCGCTTATTTTAGTCGCTAGACGCTTCGCCGTTCGCACCGCGCGAATATTCGTATCGGCGAATGTTCCGTGGCCAGGCTGTTAATCTTTAATCACGTTTATCTTGTAATCTTAAATTATTATTTTTTATTGCTTAGATGGGTGGACGAGCTCACAGCCCACCTGGTGTTAAGTGGTTACTGGAGCCCATAGACATCTACAACGTAAATGCGCCACCCCTCGAGATATAAGTTCTAAGGTCTCAGTATAGTTACAACGGCTACCCCACCCTTCGAACCGAAACGCATTACTGCTTCACGGCGGAAATAGGCGGGGTGGTGGTACCTACCCGTGTGGACTCCCAAGAGATCCTACCACCAGTGAAAAACAAATTATTACGAACAAATTTGAATGGCAGAATATCGATGCTGCAGATTTTGCATTCGGCTATTTAACATGAGTGGCCGGAAGCGTTATCCTGGATATGACACACACTTGTCACAACAATATCCAACCGTAAAGCCAAAAAGGAAATTTTGAAATATTCGATACGTTTCCGTTTACCATTTTCAAACGAAATTAATAGACGTACGTACATATTTTGGTCGGAAATGTACTAAGCGTAATTGAAATTGACGTGTGTAATACACAAAGAGCGAAAATCCGTATCGTTTAATTGTTTTTAAAGTGGGCTTTATATTCTCGAAAAAAATCGCCGGGGAACGTTCAGGCCCGATTCGCGAATGAATTGAAATTTTATCGGATAACTCTACGTGGCACGAACAGAGTTCATATTTATTCAAGTTTAGTCGGAATTTTGCAATGTGAGCATAAACGGTCATAAGTTATATAACATTATTATTATTATTCACGATCTAATTGTATACAAGCAATTTCAACCACGAAAATGAGAGCTGGATTTAATATTATTTTATTTGTCCGAGAAAAATGGCAGCTATTTTTGTCTCCAGCTCGCGTTATCGGAGGAAGGTCGTTTCGGGATGGAAATCAATTCGAAAGACCGAGTGCAGTCACTATTGGTGGGCTACAACTTACTGCTTCGCGCCAGAAATAAGCAGGGTTGTGGTGCCAGTCGGTGAGATCTCACAAGACTACCGTATTCCGTCTTACCGCCAGTAAGGTCACAAAGGTGCAGTCAAATCAGGTATTTTATTCAAACATTTTATCGTCTAAACTATGTTTCAAAGCGAATTTGAACTTAAAGATATAAAGTGACAACAAGTTTTAATTAATAAGTTATGCTCACAGTTGCTAACAAAGTTTAAGCCGAAACGGGTCGTTCATTATATTCGACTGCATTCAAAGTTGACAAACAAGGCCACAACGATACAGATGCTGCAAACATAAGCTGTTGATTTCAATTAACAAGTTTCGAAGCGGTAGTATAACTTAAATTTCCTCATCCAATTATTAAAGCTCAGAGCTCGCTGAAAAAGCTTATACAAGAACTCTTTGAGAAGTTTATTAACAGTATGAAAGTTACAATTTAATATCCTGTAATCCTTAAGCTAGTAAACAATAGATTTTGATAGGGAAAAGAAGATACGGAAAAATACTATTTAAAAAAACGGAAAAGTATTATTACCATGCCCATTGCAAGAACTACAGACCCATCTCGCTTCTGAGCCTTCTATAAGTTATTCTTGAGAGACATTCTGAATATTTATATATTAAAAGAAGGATTTCTGGTGGCTTGTAGGCCTTTCCAGTTTCACCAAGCCAGGTGGGCGAGCATGAGCTCAGCCAGGAGGGGTGGGATTTGCCAACAGCCGCCCGAACAGACTAAGTAATCAAATTTCCCAAAATACTATAGCGCCATCGACCACTTTCATATGCTACAGTAGATTATAGAAAAGAACTTAAGTCTATGTATTATTATTCGATATCTGTCGACTACAAGAAAACGATCAAATCAACCATAATATAGGCTGGCAAAATCAATATCTTAAACCATATGGAAACTATATCTTAAACCATATGGTTTAAGATATAGATTCACCGAAGACTTGGATATCCAACTCTTCGGTGAATCTAGTATAACCCCTCGAAGTTACTAGGATAGTTAGGAAAAAAGAAAAATATCCCAGCGCTACCACACAGTTCCAATATAGAATCAACCTCGAAACCCATTCTAATAATCCTTAACGCGAGTTTAATATTACCAGACAAAATTAAAAAATTATGCTGCTTTGAGTGTTTTTGTAAGGTATACTCAGTTTTAATCTATTCATACTGTGACATGTAGACTGCTAGGGTTACTCAATAAAATAAACAAAATCATCATCAATTTAATTAAGATCCTTCATCATGTAACTTAAGAATATTTACTTTTTGTTTTAATTGTAAATCGTCGATTGCCCACGTCAATTCGGATCCTCTCGACCCACTATTGGTGCTTTTAGGTACCACAAGCACCGATCACCGTTCTCGTCAAACCCGTCGCTTACAACGAAGGCTTCGGCGAGTAAATTAACCCACCGACACAGCCCACTGAGTTTCTCGCTGGATCTTATCAGTGGGTCGCGTTTCCGATCCGGTGGTAGATTCATAGAAGCACTGCTCCTGCTGGGGCTAGTATTAGCAACGTCCTTTAGAGCCCCGTGAGCTCTTCTGCTGACCCAGTTGCGCTGGCATACCCACCTAGGTGACCAGCTTAGGTAGGATAAAAAAAAAATCGATTATTAGTTTTAATCTAGAACAGTTTCAAGACCTTTTAGACCAGGGGCTCCCAAACTTACTTTGTCTACTGCCCACTTTGAGAACAAATTATTTTTTAGCGCCCCCATTTTTTCAGAGAGCTCAGTCGCTGTCAAACAGTCCTCCTAGATGAAATCACTTCCCAAGCCTCTACACAACGCCCCCTTTTTTGTGTTTCTCTTACCGCCCCCCTTTAAGCCCGCAGCGCCCACAAGGGGGCGTTATCGCCCACTTTGAGAAAGGCTGTTTTAGACCAACATGATTGTTGCATACACGTGGTCGGTGATAGATAAAAGAACATTGTGTACCTCTTATAATAAGTGCTATTCCTCAGGGATTCTATTGTACGTAATCACGGTTATAAAGATACATCTACTTCCATGTGTGCAACAATTAATTTAAATAAGACAGAAAATTGCATCTTAATTTTATATTGAGTAAAGCTAGAGAGACATTTTCATACTGACATCCAGTCTATCTAATTATATCGAACCTCCGAGCGCCGAAGTAATATTGTTAGCTTCGACGACGACAAAATGAGCCAGACGTGAAGCGTAGATCCGCACTAACTGGAAAAGAAAACAGAAGACCGACGGAAAGCCTTTTTAACAAAGAAACTCACTTCAACGGAGTATCGACTCTAGATAAAGTATTATATTATAATAGAAGTCGATAATTATGAAATCTATTGCTGATTAGTAGTATGCGACGACTACATAGAATACTCATTCTTACAAATGATGATTTTTTTCTTGAAAAATGTGCAATTGTCACCCATTATCGTCATTACTTGTTACGCTAATTGTGTGGTCGTTGTCGTCATTGTCCCGTTAACGTTTACTTATAAAGTGGACCTTTGGCAATCATTAAAATACCCCCTGATTCTGCTTCAGAAATTTCATTAATGGACTTCCCATCAAACTATAAAGTAAGAATGGCGTTAGACTAGGTCGAGTACCGTAAGCTATAAGTCCAACCCAGTCTAGGAAATCCTTAAAGTTTCTTTAAGCGGATTAGTTCTGCTCCGCTATACGGTAGTAAAGCCACCATCTAATCAGTTTGCTTTGGAAGCAGCCTGAGTCTGATTAATGAATTAATGAGACCTTCTAGAGCAGATTGATGGACCATTTTTTTCTATTCTTGCACAGTCGAATAAAATATTTTTAGGCGGTATGACTATTCCAATATTTTAATTCACTTTCACATATTTTATTGTTAGATCTCAATCATGTAGACTTCATTCAAAATTCATATTCAATTATTGATTGATGGTAGTATACGCGTATTTATCTGATTTTTTCTCCTTGACTGGATGATTTAAATGCTTTATTTGATAAGTTTCTTTAAAATACCTATGTCTATATGTTGCCAAAACGTACTCCGATCGATAATCCCTTTCGTTGAGAGAATGAATTCATCAGTGATGAAATATTCAATCTAAATTCTTAGCCAATACTACTATTTTCATCATTATAATAAAATTGAATTGGTTTAATTTTTAAATCATTATATAATTTACTAAATATATTTATTTATTTTTTAACAATATAATTCAATTCCGAAGGTCCGGGTCTCCAATGATCGAGCACAAAGCCCTGTGAGTCCGATCCCCGCATCGCGTCCCCTGTGGGCAGTTACTGCATGACAGACCGGCTTCGTAAATCGGGTACCCATCGATATTCCCGGCCGGGCCGTAGTTACAGAACGTGAATGCGACGATTTTCGGTTCATCATTTGCTTTACGTACGTTCGTCATCTCCAAAATACCTCGATGCAGCGGCGATTCCTTCGTCTTCACTCTCACCGTAGTCGCGAAATCTTTAAACTTCGGAAACGTTGCCGTCGTCATGTACCTGGTCCTCCTTAAAATGTTCTCGCCGGTGACTCGCGTCGATGTGTTTGTCAAGTCTTCTGACGGTGTTGCTCTCCTGCGAAAACGCGAGCATGATTTTTTCGTGGCAGTACACAAAGCTTGAGAGCAACCAAGACGCCAAGTAGACGCCCAAGCTGCCGTTGAATACCAATGAGAATTGCATCCACCGGGGGCGCTACAGTTACCGTGCCTGAACGACCATACATGCTCTGACTGTAGCACCCGTGATCCCGAGAACCACGCTCCAACTGCGTCAGCCAATAACTGAGCTTCGGTAACTTTAGGAACTACGGGACGCACGTCCATGTTTTGAAGTGCATTAAACCTAATAGTATTCCTGCATTCGTCGTGACGTTTCTGACATTGACGCGCCCACAGTTCCGCCATCTCTTCGAGTTCGTAATCCCAATACATCTTCCTCATGTTGGTGGCGGGTGGTTGACCAGCTTCCAAGCCCATAGCGATGTTGTCTCTATGACGGTTGTGTAAAAGCAAAATTTGATATCTCATCCAATTAGTCATACCGGACGCATAAAGTCTCGGGCTCTGCTTATTGAAAGCGACACACATGGTATGCTGATTCTTCAAAGAACAGTCGGGGTGAGAACAATACTGTAAGTATCTGTCAGTATTATTGTCTTTACAAAGCATATTAACAAAGTAAAATGAACACAAAATTAAATAAATAAAACGCATGATTATAATCTATAATGGTTTTCTGTAAAATGATTAGAAACAATTGTCAAAGTTAATCTTGCCATATTAAAAATTCATTTAAAAAGAAACGTGTGGCTAATAGTATTTTTTGTTATTACAACATTCTCATCAGTACAAGATGAATATTATTGTAATTAGGTACCAAAGAGAATTTATTTCTCAGGTCTGGTTAATCAATCATTCGTATGATCTGTTTAAGTATTTATATACAATATAGCGTTCCTTAAAAATATTTTCTTCGTGCAATTTTATTCTGTACGAGTATCTGTTGAATAATGGACCTGAGGCCTAAGTCTGAACTATTATAGTACAACAGTTGTCCCGCCCTCCAAACCAGAATGCTTCCCGGCAGAGATGAGTGATGCGGAGGTCACCATCCGTGCGGGCTCACAAGGCCACCAGTAAAATTAATTATTTTCTCAAATGCTCTTTCAATTTTTAGAATCAGACTTCAGTCTTTGAGAAGTCGGTCGGTCGGTCGATCGAATTAAATTGCAGAGGGATAGCTCGCCGCAACTTTGAATATTATTATTTTGCGGCATGTGCTGTCTATCGCTTTAGCGGCTAAATTTGGATTGGATAAAGTTAATAAAAAAACCTGAGAAGTGCATTTAGGACAACACTCCATGTTGGTAGGATCTCTTGTGAGTACGCGCGAGTGGGTACCACCACCCCGCCTATTTCTGCCGTGAAGCAGTAATGCGTTTCGCTTTGAAAGGTGGGGCAGCTGTTGTAACTATACTTTAGACCCTAGAACTTATATCTAAAGGTGGATGGCGCTTTTACGTTGTAGATGTCTATAGGCTCCAGTAACCACTTAACACCAGGTGGGCTATGATCTCTTCCACTCATCTAAGCAGTAAAAAAAAATTTAATTCGTGTAGTCAGCATGAACAAGCATGATTAATTTCAAAGTAACTTCTAACATCTTAACGTTGTTTGTTTTAAAACTAAACATCTTGTTACTAAATATGGAAAATATCTCAAATTTTACTAGACCGATTATTATTTCATTCAAACTAATTTTCAATAGGTAAAAGTTTTTATTTTTTTATTTCTACAATTACAATTCATTTTTGAAAGAAATAGAGTTAGAGGAGGGCACATTTTTAATACTTTATCTCTGCAACTATTATAAATATATATACCTAATAATAAAATCTTAATTTAGAAAACTCCATATCATTTTTGAGAAAAGGAATCCAAGAAAGCCCATTTTAAATTAATAATTTCTACATACAGTTCTACAGCTTCTTTTAAAATACAATTTTCAAATCTGATGTCCTACATAATGCCATAATAAGAATTCTGGTTTTCCGACATTTGTGTACGGAATCCTAAAAATAAGTATCCTTTGATGCTCCTTAAGAAGCCAATAGTTCAAAGAACGCAAACAGAAGCTGTTGTTGTTTTAAGGCACTTTTGCGCGTGTTTTAAGTAAAATCGTGTGTGATGTACCATGATTTTCCTTCATCAAATTGGTTAAAATTAAAGGTGAATTTCCTTTTTTTTTTCTTTTTTCTTTTTTCCTACCTAAGCTGCTAGCCTTGAGAGGCTATATCAGCGTAACCTTAACTAGTAGGTGAGCGCGCGGGGCTCAAACCTGACAATGTTGCTAACAACGATCCCTGACAATGATCCCTAGCAAGAGCCATCCTTCGCAGAATCTACCACCGGATCGGAAACGCGATCCGCAGAGAAGATCCTGCGAGAAACTCAGTGGGTTTATTAGTTCACTTTACGCAAGCTATGTCATGCATAAGGTTAAATGACCTGACCTATTAATTGCTAATAAATTTTCGATGAATTGAGCTTAAAACGCCTTTGAGCTTAAAACGCCCTGAGAGAAGCAGTCAATGTGTTTTTTTTTGCTGACAAAGGAGCATTCGTCTTACCTGAATGCCATTATTAAGTTCAGAGGCACGATTAGAAAGTGGTCACAACCGCATTCAGCCCACAACAAACTACATACAGCTAGCTACCTTCGCTGTTATCTCTATCTATCAAAGTGTGTGCGTAAAAAAAGGAAATATAAAATGCTACACACAAGTATGTAAGTTTGGACCACTTTAAGTGTGTTTTTTTATCTTATTCGTTCCAATAATATTTAATATTGATGTCAGTCATTATCATCATCATGATCAGCACACAGACGTGGTAAACTGGTGGTAGGACCTCATGTGCGTCCGCGCGGGTAGGTACCACCACCATGCCTATTTCTGCCGTGAAGCAGTAATGCGTTTCGGTTTGAAGGGTGGAGGAGCCGTTGTAACTATACTTGAGACCTTAGAACTTATATCTCAAGGTGGGTGGCGCATTTACGTTGTGGATGTCTATGGGCTCCAGTAACTACTTAACACCAGGTGGGCTGTGAGCTAGTCCACCCATCTAAGCAATAAAAAAAAATATAGACGTCCACTGCTGGATATTGGTGCCAGTAAATTGATGAGTATTTATATTACATTTTCCCTGAATTTTTACAAGTTTAGGTAGGTTAGTTATTAATCATCAAGTTTATGCTCCATCATGACAGAATCAAATCTACAAAAATATGTACAAAATTTCTTTATTTAAATGTTAATTGATTACAAACATCTCAGTCTTCCCGCCAAGAAGGCTGAAGATATTAACAAAAAACAAATCATTCCCTTAATAAACTAACGTCATAAAAAATATACTTAGCACTACTATTATCTATGACTATTACGACTATGTCTACGACTCGCGACAAGGGAAGAAAAAACATAAAAATAACATTACCTAACATGATTTAAATTACTATTTTAAATCGACATTTCTTATAAGAGAATGGAATCGAAGTTATAAAATATATTCCATCATTAGAAAAACGGACGACCCTAAAGTTTTCAGAATTCCCGAGCAAAGTTAAATACATCTTCATTACGTGTGACGTCATTTGGGACTAAAATAAACTATGAGCTAACCATAAATCGTAAACGATTAGCATTACCTATAATAAAATATCATGCATTCTGGTTGACTTTGATCTAGACGTTTAATATTTTGAAATAAAAAGATTTTGGGTTATTTAATATTCTTATGATTTCGAAAAAATAGTTATTTTATTTATTTGCTATATTTGTTTAAATATAATTAGGTGAAATTAATTAATTTAGTCAGAAACTAGTCGTTCACACGTAAACTTCAAACTTATTGTATCATACACTATAGCATATTATGTTGTAATAGGATTTTTCGAACTATCCACAAAAATAATCACATAGATAATATGTAGTGGATTATAAGTAGGTATACCTATACATAGACGCAGCGTCTATCACATTCACTACCATAAAGGGTTTTTGTCTTCTCCTTCTCTACTCGTGCTCAAGCTTAAGAGACGTGATCACCTTCATTCATGACTTTTGTCCCGACGTTGCTGTGCCACTTCATCGTGCCTTCCGCTAATGGCAGAGTCTACACTATACTAACAAAAATCAGAAAATGGAATTCCGAATATTTATATTACAAAACTAGAATACAAAACTTTTATATTCATTCATACGTACATATAGGCATGTATATTTTTAACGTTACTTACCGTATGTTTGCGGATGCTCACGTGGATGACTTTTCATCAATCATCCGCAAACGAACGGCCTCACTGATGCGTGGGGTTCGTGCGAGTACTAATAATATCCTGATGGTTATAGGTAATAAACCCTAATGTGCTGTTTTGAGACACTGGGTTCATATACATACCCATATACCAGGTGCCTCAAAGCAGCGCAGATTTATGAATTAAATGTTTAAATGTTTTAATTGCTAATTTTAATTTTAATTTTAATTTTACTAACATAGTTCTAAGTATTATTCTACTTACAACATATGGACTAAAGAGGGTCTGAATTAAATGAATTTTATTTTATTTTTGTATTATTTTACGGGGTACCTACGTCAATCCTCTAAATTCATAATCACGGTTAAGATTTTATTTCACTTGGAGCTCTCATAATTAAAAAGAAGTAATTGTAAATTTTTTCAATATTAATGTTAAATTTACAATGTAATCACGGCTAAGATTTTGTTTCAATACTTCGGGCTCTCATAATTAAAAAGATGTGATTGTAAAATTTATCTAAATTAATGTAAGAATTACTACGAGTATGTTATCCCTCTCTCGTTCTCGTTTAAAAAATCTATGAATATTAATGTTACGTAATACGTATCTTTATTCTCAATATTCTTTATGTCTTTGTTGTTGAATTTTGACAATCGGAAAATGAAGAAAGTCTGTAATTTTACGTACAAGAATACTATTTTTATTTTAAAAATGTTAAACCGTGAGCATGCTTGTGCTAAATAATAAATTTTGTCAAAAATGGCCTACAAAATAGTACAGATGGTTTTTCGCGGTGGTACATTATGTCTTATGTTATTTGGATTATTCTTCAATTCGGAACACAACGATTTAACTTCATCTGATCACTTCTTCATGACGGGAGTCTTCGGGAGTTATACCATCATCATCTTCGGTCTTCTTGTCGAAGCAGGATTACAGTATAATTCTGACAAATTTTATGAAACATTTTTTTTGAGTACCGGTATTGTATTAAATATGTTTTGCAGCCTATTATCTTTTGCCGAATATAATTCTAATCCTACAGACGCGAGTCTGTCTATAAATAAAGGTATGATGTCTATTTCGTCCGTTGCGATATGTGTTTTTGATTTAATTTTAACCATTACTGTTCCTAAATAGAGAATAAATCTGAATTTTCAGCAGTCTTTTAATATATTTGTTTGCTTTCTACTGAATTTACATACTAATGGAGTCCGCAAATTATCATTTTTAATTTATTCATTATTCAGCACAGAACCTAGGACAGAAATCCTTAAGAGATATTAATCTAATGTTGATTCTTTAATTGTAATACAAAGTAGATATATTATGTACCAAGCTGTTTAAGAGGGAATAGATTTTGTACAGCTTGCTCAATAATATCGTTGTTAAGCACATGGTCATAATAATTCATGTCAGCCTTTAAATGGGTTAAGAAATTAGGTTGTAATCTCGCAGAGACATTTCCTTTGGCACTCATTCAGTTACTTAGACCCCGAGAGAGATAAAGCGAAATCAAAATCATCCAATAATTAATATGTTTTATAAATCATTAACCGATGCCAAAGTGTTGGTAATCAGTAAATTCAATGACAATAAGAAAGCGGTTTTGGTGTCCGCAACATTGAGTTCCTAGTAAATTACCCACACTTAAGAACTGTAAATTGCAAAAATTGTGTACACAATCTGCAAGAAAAGAAATAGTTGAAGTTAGAAATTGACATCGGCCTACAAAAAATCTAAGAAAGTGCGTGATTATTTCATTATGAAGAACAAACAAACTATTTCAACCAATTTCTTTCTGTGCATAGATTAATTTTGACTTAATTGCAGGTTGCATGTAGCTTCACCTATGTTGGCTTACAATATGCAAGTCGATAAGTATTTAATTTTGTATTTCCCGTTTCGGTTGGAAACGCGAGGACGCCCCTCTTAACCTAATGTTGCTAAAAAAAACGCTTTTATTAAATAATAAACCAAAAGCGAATTTGGAACGCATTATTGTGTAGATGAATAATCCTTAAACAGTACAAATGTAATGCAACCGGTTAGCGTGCATCGCTTACAACCTAGAATCTAGAAACTTAAGCTATTAAAGAATACCAAATAGTACAGAATCAGATACAGAACATTGAAACTAACAAACGACGCAATAAGCTCGAACGAAAAACAAACACACAAATAAAAAACGTAAGTAATAGGCTGAATACGGAAACAAATTAAACCATTTTAAACTGCAATAGCAAAAATTCTAAAAAAATTCAGAAGCATGACAATTTTTTAGAGATTATAAATAAAAGTTAGTAATTAAAGAATAAAAACGTCTAAGAAATCATTTTCTTTCCTTAGGCTAGTTTACTAGTTCACGTCACAGAAAACCATGGAGATCAAGAATGTAAATCGATGCCTCCAATGAACACTACTCTAACTCAAAATTTTGAAATTTTCGTTTTTCACGCAAATCGCTTCACTTTTTTAAAAGTATGTATTACAAATCATTATTGATGGGGTTCGAAGCAAGAGTAAATCAGCTAGTTACACACAAAAAAAAACCATAAATATATCTGCAATAATAAAGATTTTATCAACTTTTTTCGCTTAAACGCTCCTCCTGTAAACCTACGAATTTGGAGTTAGCGTAGTGTTCATTGGAGGCATCGAAACGCCCCCACCCACCTTGAGAAACGTGGTATTAATTTCAGTTCAGTAGTGCAGCAACCAGTATAACAGTTGTTCCACATTTCAAAATAGAACGCATCCAGAAATAGGCAAAAACAGGCCGGATGGTAATTAATACTTAATCGTGCGGGCTCCCAAGCTTCTATCCTTTAGGTCACAATGACTTCAAATTTTGAATTCAATTAAAGAAAAACACGAATTAACGAAAAATTAAAACTTTATTCTCTTATATGTAATTACTTTTATTTATTTTAGATAATGAATTATTTACAAAATAGTTCCGTAGCGCAAAAGGAATTTCATTTCTGCACTATTTCTGCCATTTATTAATCATTTACATTACAACATTAATTTCTCCTTTACATTCTACATTCTATAATTTACATTCTAACGCCATCTATACACGAAATTTTGAAACTTTTGTAGAAAATTAAATGTTTCTGATTTAGATACTAACTATGTAATGATTAAAATTAGTCTCGTATAGACGAAACGAATAAAATAAAACTAAATTATAGGTAAAATTTTCATTCTTTGCCAAGTTGCTATTTTTTCAAGATCTATATTTTTATTGGTTATCTGTTACTGTGAATTTTGAATATAAATACTAGGCTACCACCTGATTAAAACTTTTGGCCATAAAATTATTTTACTTGATCAATTACGTAACTGATCCCGCAAAAGCATTCGCCAAAGTCTAGTATAACGGTTTGATCCTCAAACTATTTAACGTGGTTGGGCTGGATAGTCACGCACGCGCTCATCCTATGGGACTTTTTCTCAAACTGCTTTTTCAATATCGATTCGAGAGAACACAGTCCTCCCCGCGACTTTTATTATTCGAGCAAAAACAAGCCCCTAATCATAAGTAAACTCAAAAGCGCTGCCATAACCCTCGGATAGTGGTTCCGGAGATAGCGCATCGATATCAACCGCATTAGACATACAATTTATGATTATGACAGCGGAGCCTAATCGGACTCGATTAGTAGCACAAGAAATCTATTTCACTAAATGGAGTTTAACGGTTTCCGTTTTTTATAAATGGCGTTGTTGGGCCATGATGTTAAATAATTATGTAACATTGAATTTGAATAATTAACCACAGTTTTTAATAATAAATATTTTCTTTATGAGTGCGAGATAAAATAGGTCCATATTTTATAATAAAATTATTTATAATAAAATATGGAATCTTAAAAATACACTGCGTCGTTCAAAGCAAAGGCAGGAACTGAAGCTCGGAATGGGGATGATTGTTTAAGATGGAAGATAACCGAATGTATGTATGTAGCGCCATTTTACCATTAGTTTTTGATTACCTTCCAAAAGCGGCACCATACGATTCACATTAAATTAATCTTTGCAGTTCTTTGCAATATTTTGTTGTCGTTGTTATATCCTTAATATTAAGAACAAAGTTCACAATCACAGACCTGTTATTACTTGCAATACCTTATAGCAGATTAGGTATTGAAGACTTATTGTGGAACTATTACCTACATCATAAGTCAACAAATGTCAACTGTCAAATTTTGTTTGCAATTTGCAACGGTAGATCTCTACCTTATCTCTACCTACCTATCGGTTGACTGACAATTTTTTACTGCATTTTACAAAGTACATCACAAAAGTTTTGTGTGCGTGATGAATAGTGTGTGAAAACGAGAGATTTAATAATATAAGAACAGTATGAGTCTCCATAAAGCTAGGTAACTAATATGCCTTTATATTTCATAGTAATGTTCGAAATAGAATGAATAATATTGTATTTAAACTGATACAAATATAATGGGTGGTACTGAAATTGTCACTTCAAGTAAATCAGTATAAATTTAGTTATATTTGAAGCGCTTTAAAAGAATTAGCTTACACGAAATCAGCGACAATTAAGTGATTAGATTAATTTAAAAATATCAAGTACCCGAAACATTGATTTGTTTTAGCGAAACAGGCTTCTGAAAATTTAAATAATGATCGGCTTGATAAATAATAATATAAAAATATCCTGATTGTTGTGGTACTATTACCTTTAACATAAACTATTTAATTCAAAAAAGAAAGTTGAATGGATGGGACTATTACACTTTCTTACACAATTACAACAAGACAAATAATTCATATTAAAAACACTCATACGCCTCAACCTTTCAATAAGAAATGATCAGTAATATAATATCATTAATCAATTAAAACTTAAGTTAAATCTATTTCATATTATAAAAATATATTGATTTCAGTATGTGGTTAAGTATGACAACATTAAAACAAATTGTTGAAGTTTTCCTGTTGCATTAACATATGAAAGCTTTTGTTCTGTGACATTCTATTTTTTATGCATTATTGAGGTTTTTCCCATATTAAATAATGAGGTGCATCCTCAAAAGCAAAAAACATTACGACAGCAGCAGAGGATTATTCTGACTTTTGAATCAGTACACTTAATTTTTATGGAACGATTAGATAGAACAATGGTGTTGTTTATTGTGATCTCATAATACACACACCTTCAGGGGTCAGTGGGAAAAGCGAGAGTGCTAACACTATAAATTATTATTATATTATTATTAACTATAACTAAAACTATTCATTACTTCATCATCATCTCAGCCTGTCCACTGTCCACTGCTGAACATAGGCCTCTCCAAGTGATTTCCAGTGTGGCCAGTCATTATTATTATTAATATTACTATTATTATTATTACTATTCATTACTATTAACTGACAATAGGGTTGTGATAGACATAGTGGAAAGTTAAACCTACACCCAGATAAATGCCCTACATTACTTACCAGCTCTGCTATCTGAAAATAGTCAAATGTTAACGACTTTGTATACAGGGAACTTGGTTCCTGTCTCAGAGTAGTGCAGCATGACTATAATAGCCACCTTTATGACTTATTAGGCCATATTGCTGTACATGATGCTGAAGCCTTTTTTTATAGACTCATGGCTTAGATTGTAGTTCCTATGACTTCTTGAGGGTTTGAAAAGAGTCTTCAGAAATAGGTAGAAATAGGAATAGTAGCTTTCTTGTATGATGAACAAAAGTTGACACTCTATCATATAGGTCTTATTGAATACCTTTTATAAAATAAGTAATTAATTCAATGATTTCTCATAATAGAAAATTTATTATAATTTTGAATTTTGTCAGGATAAAAGCCTTTGAAGAAATACTTGATCAAGATGTTATTGATATGCAGCAGCTCCAGAAGCTAGCCTTCAATGGTAATCACTGTTTATTATTACATGTTATATCATTATTATATGTGCCGTTGATAATAGTAAATTAAATGTTTGGTCTGATGAAATTCATTTCTATTTGAATAAAATTATTCAATTTGTTGGTGATCAAATAATATCATGACTAATTTTTTTTAACAACTTTTTAGGAATACCTGATGATAAAGGACTGAGATCATTAGTTTGGAAAATCCTACTGCATTATTTACCCCAAGAAAAGAACGCTAGAGAAACAACGCTAATTAAGAAACGTCAGCTTTATAAACAGTTTATAGGTAACTATTTTAGTGTGAATATTACAACTGCTTTTTGCTCTTTAAGCAAAAAAGTAACTCTAGTATAAAAAAACTCTAGTAAAACTCTAGTATAAAAAATTTACGTTACTGTAAATTATATATTCTATATTTAAATCTACTTTTATGGCTTAGAATTGCGTCTAATATTTTTTTTGTTTGACGGTAGTTACCGCAATATTCAAATGTTGACGATTACTTCAGTGATCACTACTAGCTCCTCATATTTTTCCTCATTAATTTTTTATAGAAGAAATAATTGTATCGCCCGGAGGGCCAACTGACCATCCGTTAAACATGAGCCCCGACAGCTCTTGGAGTACTTACTTCAAAGATAACGAGGTACTGTTGCAAATCGACAAGGACGTGCGAAGACTCTGCCCCGATATATCATTCTTTCAATCTGCTACTGAATTTCCTTGTCCTGAGGTTAGTAACATTAGCAACAAATAAATCTTTGTGGCCTTAAATACGGTGCATTCGTGTTGAGCGGTGCACCGGTGTTCAAATCCCGCAGGCGGGTACCAATTTTTGTAATTAAATACGTACTTAACAAATGTTCACGATTGACTTCCACGGTGAAGGTATAATATCGTGTAATAAAAATGAAACACGCAAAATTATAATTTTAATTACCGGTGGTAGGATCTCTTGTGAGTCCGCACGGGTAGGTACCATCACCCTGCCTATTTCTGCGGTGAAGCAGTAATACGTTTTGGTTTGAAGGGTGAGGCAGCTGTTGTAACTATACTGAGACCTTAGAACTCAATCTCACGGTGGGTGGCGGCATTTATGTTGTGGATGTCTATGGGCTCCGGTAACCACTTAATACCAGGTGGCCTGTGAGCTCGTCCACCAATCTATGTAATAAAAAAAAGTCAAAAATCTCAATCCATACAAACCATTTCTGATCTTTTTGGGGGGTTGGAAATTATACAACTACAGTTGCCCATCACGAGAGGAGCACATTTGCTGTGGTCGCTTATAATCCCGTAGACGACAGCTGGTTTTTCAGTTGTTTGCGAAGGCCAAAAAGCTTTTGCAGTGCATGTGTAGTAAAATTAATATCTTTATCTACCGAGGTACCACGTACTCATAAAGTATCTCCAAGACTATACGTCCGATGGATTTTAAATTTGTCATAGACTTCTATGCGATATTATTACTGGTGATAGGACCTCTTGCGAGTCCGCGCGGGTGAGTACCACCACACTACCTATTTCTGGCGTGAAGCAGTAATGTGCTTCGTTTTGAAGAGTGGGACAGCCGCTGTAACTATACTTGAGACCTTAGAACTTATATCTCAAGGTGGGTGGCGCATTTACGCTGTGGATGTCTATGGGTTCCAGTAACCACTTAACACCAGGTGGGCTGTGATCTCGTCCATCTATCTAAGCCATTAAAAACAAAAAACAAAAAAACACTTTTACACTAAACACAATATTGCAAATTACCCGAACACAACAATGGCGGAAAATTTTAGGTGTGTGAGAGCAGACGTAGACACTAACGCGCATGCGCACTTGTCAGTACCCAGGGAGGAAAAGTTAGACTTTCTTCCCTGTACAGCGGGACGAAAACCGAACTTTCGGCGTAGGTAGGAGAAAAAATACATTACCATACAGCTCATTAAATTGCTTTGTTCAAAAATCACATACATAATCAATTGTATTTTGTTCAATTTGTGAACGCAGACAGAAATAAGCACTTTCGATGATCTAGTACAGTGATTCTCAAACCACTGTGCCGCGGCACTTTTGTGTGCCGCCAAATTTTGCAAATATATAATAATGTTAATATTATTAAATTATATCATTTAAAAAGAAAAATATTTTTAACATGAATATATATTTAAATCCACAAAAAAATAAATTATTTTATTATTAGCTTTGCAACGCGGTTTTTCTTAGTGCCAAATTATGATGAAACGGCGTGCATAGCAATAGGAATATGTCTCAAGTCGGCGCACACTTGCCACTTCTGCGTAAAAAAGGTGTTGTTTTAGTGATAGTTGGGATTCACAAGGTGTTGCATAGTAGTTACTGCACCTTTTCTTTCGCTAAAATTGGCAAATGTATGTGATTCGGTAGTAAGTAAATAATTTTTATCTTTTTCTTTGTGTGCCGCCAAATTTTGAAATCGTTAAATATGTGCCGCAACAAAAAAAAGGTTCAGAATCACTGATCTAGTACCTTGAAAATTATATCGGTGTGCGCTCGCACAATGTAACGACATTGCAAACTATAAAAATAGTCGTTAGTGATAATTTAAATGTGACATTCGTAAATATTCCATAATCAAACTCCGATGACACATGTTTCTTCTTTTGTCATTTTATAAAATTTTCAAGTAATTATTGCGAATGACATTTAATTGACAACATTACGTTATCTATTAAAAAAAACAACAGACAGTACGTACGTATATAACGTATCTACATATTTTTCGATTTACATGTTAAAATTACAAATTTAAATTATTTGTATTAATTAATAACTGTTTATTCTAATGACTATCATTACGCACCTGGTCATACTTAGGCTCGTCATGCGTCTGTTATTGCATATTCAATGCGATATCGGCTTACCTGAGACTGATCTAGTTGAACCGCAAGCAACAAGATACGACCACGTTCTAAATGTAAAATGATTGATCTTGTAAGCATTGCGTAACATATGTTATTTCAGGTCGTAAACAGCAATGGCATAAAACGATTGCACAAACGTGTCGAGCAATCCGTCCTCAAATACGCCACATTGGAGAGAAGGGGTCTCGGTGTTGCCAAGGTGAGAATGACATTTTTCAGATTAAAAAAATACCCATATAGTAATTTGATATAACTTGTTTTTTTTTAATTTTATTAGCTAAACTTGTATATCTACGTAACGGAATCTTTGTATGTATATAATTTTCACTAAATTCAAGTCTTGTTCACTTGTAAATTTGCCGATTTACCGATCTTAATACGGCATTTTTATTACTTAGATCAAATTCAACTACTGGTGGTAAGACCTCTTGTGAGTCCGCACGGGTAGGTACCACCACTCTGCCTATTTCTGCCGTGAAGCAGTAATGCGTTTCGGTTTGAAGGGTGGGGCAGCCGTTGTAACTATACTTGAGACCTTAGAACTTATATCTCAAGGTGGGGGCGCATTTACGTTCTGGATGTCTATGGGCTTCAGTAACCACTTAACACCAGTTGGGCTGTGAGCTCGGCCACCCATGTAAGCAATAAAAAAACCCAGGATAAATGTTAAATTTTCATTCAGTTTGATGTACATATATGCGTTTTTTTTTTTTAAATGTGCAATTTTTTTTATTTTTCTTACAACCCCTTCTATTTTTTAGCTTAGCAACGAAATCAAACGCGCCGAGAACATCACAAGCGGCGATTACGCCCCACTGAACGAAGGCTGCGAGGCTCACTGGGAGGTGGTGGAACGTATGCTGTTTCTGTATGCGAAGCTGAACCCGGGACAGGGCTACGTTCAAGGAATGAACGAAATAATAGGACCCATCTATCATACCTTCGCTATTGACGCCGACAAGGAGTTTCGACGTAAGTTATCCAATAAGTATTTAATAAATATTTATCCAATGATACTGATGGATTCGTCACATACATTTTTCTAATTTATTTTCTTTTGACAGCTGTAATAGATACAAAGTGACGCCGTTTGCTTTAAACAACAAAAAATACCTTATTTATGTGTTCAAGATTGAGGATGAAATTTACAGATGATTTACGTAGATTTAAAATAAATATAACAGTAATTAAGCTGAAAGAAACTAGATCAATTATAAGTTTTTTTTTTTCCAATATTTATTATAGCACAAACAAGCCCAAGCCCTCCTAGGTTTAGGTGCTTACCAGAATAGACGTAGTCATTATCTAGTGAAAATCGCTATCCATTTTAAGACAAGAGATCGTAGTCCTAATTAAATTATATAACAATTTAGAACTAATACGAAGAAAACACATGTTTTCTTTAAACACTAAATTATATTGTTCGACGACAAATTAAATTAAATCCGGCTCTAAAATATCAAGTAGTTTATTTTAAATTAATCTCCCAAAATACTTAACTCGATGAAATAAATTTAAAGAACCAAAAAAAAATGCGCGTTAACATACTGAATCGTTATTAAAAACAAAACACACGGATTACGAATCAAACATAAAATTAATTTAAACAATATAAACATATCAATATAACGACCCTAACCTTGGTCTTCGATGCTCTGCGCTACACGACATTAAAAAAAATATATGATATCGATTTTAAAAGGCCATTGACACGAGGTTGTTACGGACTCGTTTACAAATACAGCAAAACGTGATTTAAAAAAATATAATTTAAAAGTCAACTGTCAAAGAAAATGTTATTTTTAGTACACACTTAATACGTACATGGATTGCATTTCGTTCCTTATTTAAATGAAATTGCCATGTTTTGGAACTCGACACGTACAATAGTAGAAAGCCTCGTCCACTTTTACAGATTCCGATTCTTATGATCGATGTTTTTAGATCGCACATTTTAGCAAATATGTACATCGATTTCGCGCTGAACGTGGCTTCAGAATCATAGCGTCACTTAGCTGAGAACTCTAGTAGGAGCTGTGGATATACGCAGTGTAGGAAAGACACGTAATTAATGATGCACTCCAAAAGCTAGACGTTACGTACTATGATTTCAATATCAGCAGCACCGCTTGAAACCCGTTGCTGACCTTGGAATTCAAGATTTAAGTTTCCGGTGCATTGCACTGTACTATCATTTAAACCGGATTGAATGATCTGAATGATTTTTAACAAAAAAGGCAACACGTGTACAAACCTCAACACTTTCTCTTTTCTTGCCGATTACAAAAAAAAAAGTATTTGAAAAAAAATTGAATTCGCTCTTTTACCGAATTCATCACCGTTTTCGTGAACTACGATCTGTAACTGAGATGACGCACGTCATTACGGATCCCCCTGATCCACTAACGGTGCTTTTAGGTACCTCAAACACCTGTCACCGTCCCCGCCGAACCCGTCGCGTGCGACGAAGGGCTCGACGAGTAAATTAACCCCACATTAGACACAGCCCACTGAGTTTCTCGCCGGATCTTCTCAGTGGGTCGCGTTTCCGATTTGGTGGTAGATTCTGCGAAGCACTGCTCTTCCTAGGGTCAGTTTTAGCAACACTCCCGGTTTGAGCCCGGTGAGTTCACCTACTCGCCCGATTACACTGACATAGCCTCTCAAGGCTATTTGCTTAGGTAGGAAAAAAAAACCTCAAGAATATTTTCTGAACAAATTCTATGAACGCATAAACACAGAGCACGCCGAAGCCGACTGCTTCTTCTGCTTCACGAACCTAATGGCTGAGATACGTGACTTCTTCATACGTACCCTCGACGAGGCGGAAAGCGGAATCAACTACATGATGTGCAAACTCAACGAATTTCTGAAGCGCCACGACCCGGATGTTTGGACTTTATTGGAGAAGCAGGAACTGCGCCCTCAGTACTACAGCTTCAGGTAATATTAGTTAAGCTACAATGTAAAACAGATCGTGTTCCTTAGCCATGAAAGTTCCAATTTAAATAGTCTGAATTTCGTGACGTAATTAAATGAACACGGGATCAAGTCTTCAAAAGTTTTGTACGACTCGTGAAAATCTGAAAAGAAACTTTATGAATAAAAATCTATTTAATAAAATTACATTTGCGTTTACTTAAAATCCGGTTAAGCCTGCCGCGCAGTTCTTTTATGTAAATTAAATAAAAATATATATTTAAGTTAATACATTTTTAAACTGAAATAAATATTGCATTGGTAATCTAAGTCATCTGGTTATTGTAAAGGTTACAGTTTCGGGAGCCAGCAATGTAATGCGAATAAAAAATATGGCACACGCTGAAACGGCGGTCAATGAAACCTGAAATTTGTTGCACATGCTTAGTAGGTACTACTACCCTCTAGAAGTCGTGTAATAAATGTATATTTTTATTTTTTTATTGCTTAGATGGGTGGACGAGCTCACAGCCCACCTGGTGTTAAGTGGTTACTGGAGCCCATAGACATCTACAACGTAAATGCGCCACCTACCTTGAGATATAAGTTCTAAGGTCTCAGTATAGTTACAACGGCTACCCCACCCTTCGAACCGAAACGCATTACTGCTTCACGGCGGAAATAGGCGGGGTAGTGGTACCTACCCGTGCGGACTCACAAGAGGTCCTACCACCAGTGATTACGCAAATTATAATTTTGCGGGTTTGATTTCTATTACACGATGTTATTCCTTCACCTGCTACCTACGTACGCCAATATCTCCCTACTATGTGTTTTTGATTAAGGATTTCCAATCACAATTGCACGAACGATTGCATATTAAAAACACATAATACATATTTAAAAAATTCCCATAAAATTTTCAAGTCCCTAATCTCAGACGCTATTGAATAAGAACTTTTTAATATGTAACAACGATGTTAAATATAGGCGCACTCAAATGTTAATATTACAGATGGCTGACACTCTTACTGTCCCAAGAGTTCTCTCTACCCGACGTCGAAAGAATTTGGGACACCCTATTCGCTGATTCTCAACGTTTCGATTTCCTCATAAACATATGCTGCGCGATGATTTTGTGAGTCCAATGTACTTGTATTTTTAGTAATCATTATAAAATCAACAATCATAACTTAAAAAAAAATGCAAATTGATTTATACTATTCGAATATAAATTCAACTTAAATGTAATACCTATACATATATTTTTACATATATTTTTTTTCCTTCATTCTATAACAGGTTGGTTCGGGATAATTTACTAGGCGGCGATTTCGCGTCGAATGTAAAATTGCTACAAAACTTTCCGCCTATGGACGTGTCATTGATACTAAATAAAGCAGCTACACTCGGCAACACGTAAACAACACAACGAATTTTGGATGAATTTATGAATAATTTAATTTTAAATTTAGTTAAAACTAGAATTTGCGGATTTAATATACTATAATATGATAATCGAAGATAAAAATTTTTTAGAGATTCTACTTCTTCTGTTCTGTTTCACCTGCTCATACAACTGACTGACTATTTACAATAAACGAATCTTTAAAAATTATTTAAAAAAAAAAATTGCCTGATCCTCATTTATCCTAAAATAAACTGCTATAAAAAAGAACTCTGTAGGAGTGTTATGTTGTTTTTTTCCATTACGGCCATAATAAACCTAAATAGCTATAAACTAGTACTGTAATATTAACGCAGATAATTATTTTTTTACTACAATAAACATTAATACTTAACATAGTGATTTTATGACCTACAATGTGACTAGCAGATACAAATTAGCAGTTTTTTAGTACAAATGCCATTGTGGCGGATGTAATTTTAAATAGTCTGAATCCGTTAATCTGGAAACCGTGACCATTTTGAGTTTGTTTTTAATCCCACCCTGTGCGTCGGCCTAAACACACCATCAATATTACATCGACTGAATTCAACAGTGACACGCGTCAATTTGACAGCTGTCAATTGTAACGCCATTTTTGGGCCTTAGAGTGAAGACACCAAGTGGCCTACAGACAATAGGTTATCGAATGACGATTTCTTTATCGAATCAAGACCTCCCAGATCAACTAATCCAATTCATATCTATCTCATTTCGTTTGACGGTCATATAACTTCCCGCCTTTTAAACGACAAAAAAAAACATTATACAGTTAATAAGAGCATGTACAAGATCGTCAGAACGTTCTATGATAGGTAGGGCTTAAAGTAAATCAATTAAAAAATGCACTTAATGTGAAAGTATAACGAGCGAGTTTTTGAAGTGAAACTTCTAAGGCGACTTCAACAAGGTTGCGTTAAACGTTTAACGCTACCATACTAGAAAGAGACAGAGCGAGAGTGAATGCGTGGCACTCGAACGCATGCGCATGGTATACCTGTTACAGGCCAGTAGGAGTGGGTAATATCGGTTTTGCCGCGTATCGAATCGTATCTATATATCGAGGATCAATATCGGATATTGAATCTATATATTTTCTGAATCTATATATTGATGGATGCTAGTATATTTTCTCGATTCATGATATTTGAGATTTGAAACGATACGCTGATATAATATCGTAGTAGATATAGATTTAAGTCAACGTTATACGGTTGGTTTTCTGATATCAATTTATAATAAGATCTTAAAGTAATAAAAAGAACATGAAAATAAAAATATCAAAAAAACTTTCCTTCATGCTTTTACCAGGCTTAGGACTGGCTACATTATTTTCAGTTTTTAGTATTTTGTGTCTTAATTTAAAATTACAAAATATACCAAAAGAGTGTAGATTTCAAAAGCTTAATACAAACACAAGAAATAAACTCAATTATTTGGATTCAACTAAAAATAGAAAAATGTGTACTTTAAAAATCAAACACAAAAAACTTTTGAGTATTTATAAACACTTGTCCAAAAATCTAGTTCAAGGTCAAAGCGCGTGAAATTAAATTCAACGATGCAAATAGGCTATACTGCATTCAAGTTAGGGTCGAAAGTTGAAACTTCTTTGCTTAATTGTATCCTGCTGATACGCTAAGAATAATCTACAGACATATGGACTTAAATATAAGGTTTACAATTGTATGGATAATGCCTGTTTCTGTTTCATTCATCACATGATATCGTTATCGTGCGCTCACTCACTCTGGCCGATTCGATACGAACCAAACGAATATTGCTGATATTAACGAATCGGTACGATATGCCGATGCGCATCACATCGAGCAATATCGTGTATCGGCTGATATCGAAATATAGATTTCGATTCACGAATCGGTACGATATGGCGATGCGCATCACATCGAGCAATATCGTGTATCGGCTGATATCGATATATAGATTTCGTGCGGGGCGATATCGGATTCAACGATATTGCTGCGATATATAGATATTGAATCTATATACGATTTATATCACCCACTCCTACAGGCCAGCGTGAGCGTCAGCAACGAGTGGCGTCCAATATTTTCATGAAGTATTTAAATATATATGTTTCTTTTTGTATCTATAATTTAAAATATATATAATCTAAATGTTGAAGATGTCGCATCTCTTATACACAGCATTTCCTATTACAAGAGCAATCTGATTTAAAGATGAAAAATGAAGAAAACCACAATACTACACACACCGAAAAAGAAGTTTCACTTCATTTACGTGCCCCAGGTTGTACGCGCTTCGTTTTACTTTTTTGTTTTTCTCCTTTTTTACTTACTAACTGAATTCAGTCAATGATTTTTAGCGCACTACCATTAGTGCCATTCGCAAACTCGAAATGGTCACATTATGTTGTCAACATGAATAATGTTTTATGTATGTATATGTATTTTTGAAACATATACAATAATCTACGACTGTGTACTTTTAATAGTGTCTATCGTACTTTGATGTAGAAAATGAATTTTGATATCTCTTTAATAGTTACATAAGGCATAATTATATACTTACTGTAATAAAATGTTCGTTTTTTTAGTAAACCGCCCATATTTAAGCGAACATGTAGAGTAAACAATTCAATCTACTTGGATCATTATTCATTACTTATTACATATTTTTCAGACTTCTATGACAGCTGTCTCTATTATTATTTTCCTTTACATGTATGTGATTAAAAAAATCGTTCGATTGATTGAATTTCAATAAAATGTTCTAACAATGCTTAGTAATTTGCGTCTGTTTGTGACTGAGAACTTGAATTTAAATAATTTATATTACATATATTTATAACATGCATAACGGATCCTGTTTTAGATACCTCGAATTACATAAACATTATTTTGATGATATATTTTTATTAAGTCTAAGAATGTTTTTTTTTTTATAAATCTAATAAGTAATCATCGGCACAGCAAGACTGTTGGATATAATTCATAATGTGGAGGAGAATTTCATTAAGAACATTAATTATAATACATTAAACATTCAAACTTACTTATGAACCTGTTAATCTACGAAACTTGATATTTATTTTGATGTGTTTAAAAAAAATATTCCGGAACTTTCTATAATATTGGACTCGCTGTTTTGGCCATGACGAATATGAAAATATTTAAAAAAAATTATGTGACGAGAAAATTTTGTCTCTATTTTTAGTTAGTAGTCGTAAAATTTAAGACTAATAAGATACTTACTCACTCATATACTTCTTAAATTCATTAAAATATTTTTAATTAGCGATTTAAAAGGTTTAATTATTTTGGATGAAAAAAGCATTTTCTATATTATGTTTTTTTTTTAATAGACGTTGCCTCTCTAACGTTACGGTCCCAATAATTTAATGGATTTTAGACTGAGAAAAGTATACGTAGCTAAAGTTAATGAAATATAAACCTCATCATATTTTATTACGGTCTTGAATAAAGTGAACTTCGAATTCTGTAAAAGTGCGTTATTAATTTTAGTTATACAAATATCATTCCTTTTACAAAATATACGTCGAACTTTTCAAGAAAACCTTTTTGTTTTTTTTTCACAGACTAACTAGCTCCTCTAAGTTAATCCTACATACGTATATTTTGAACGATTCACCTGACTAGGTAATATTATACGTACTTTAAAATGAATTCTAAGTGATTTTTCGATAATATTGTAATATTCTAAAATAATATGAGTAGCAGTACTTTTATTATTATTATTATACTTGTAAGGAAACGGAATTCAAAATTGTCATTACTGTTACCGAATGTTTTTTTTTTTTTGTTTTTTAACTATTTATTCTCTTTTTCTATATTAATACATATAAGCTTTGTGGAATTATTTTTGTCTTAGTTAATAAACAATTTACACGATTTGAATTTATTTGTTTTTACTAAAAAAAATATACCTCATCTCAGACTAATTTGTTACGTTTATTACGTAAAAACATAGTCGATTAGTTTTAAATGCCAAGAACTACTGGTAAGTAACAAAACGAAAATTTTCAATTTAATGTTACTTTTTTATGACAATTAACGTTACACTAGATATTTAAAATATTAAGTTTTAAGTCACCCTTGCAGCTTATTCATCTATAAAGGACAAGTTATCGCTTTCGTAACTAGTCGAATGACTATGAAAGTTAGTAGAAGCTAACCTTGACATTAAGCTCCCGCCACAGAACACCTATTTCCTGTGGCAAACAATAAAATCGCAGAACAGTGTTTCTAATTAAATATTTATTCATACCATCTCAATTCGCTTCATAACATTTTTCATGGCACAGTTTATGTAATATATGTATGTTTTTAATAACTGAAGCTTTTTATAAACTCGACACTGGCAACAATAGTATAGCAAGAAGCCAATTGCAATCGATTGTTAAAAAAATGAATGCAATAGCTATTGCAATTCTATTCCACACAGTAATATAATAAAGTAGTTGTGCAAAATATGTACATCGTAATTGTACATCGTATAATAAAAATCAAACCCAAGAAAATTATAATTTGCGTCATATCTGGTTGTACGCCCATATTAGAAAGCCACACTGAAGGGCCCGTGTTGCCCTGCTGAAGTTACCCTGCCTACTTCTGCCGCGAACTATTCAAGACCACAGTAAGGATGTTATTCAACGTACCTACAGTTGCTTTCTCATAGTTACGAATGAGTGCTTCATATTACTCAATAAATTCACCATTAGGAAAAAAAAATTAGGCATAAAATTTTCAGACAATCATCAATGTTTTTAAAAAATAGGATAAAATATAACTTGGATGCAAATAAAACAACAGCAAAATCTCAAATTGCGCATCAGCCACCAGCAGAGCAAGGCGTGCGTGTTATAAGTAGCATAGCATCGCGTTTTATCTCATCGCATCGTTCACTTCCAAACAGTGGTAGATAATTTCCAACTGTTATCTGAATCATGATTAAGACTATATGTTTTTAAGACAAGTACCTACCATATTAATTTCACTTTTTACCGAAATTGAGACCACGAGGGCTCAAAAATAGTGTGTAATTTTCATGGGTGCTGGAAACTGTCAACATCAAGGTCATTTTGACTGCTCGACTGAGGTCTGCTCATTTTATATTAAAACAAAAAAGGATTTATTGCCAAAGTATTTAATATTTTATCATTACAGAAGTCACATTCCGTAAATTATGTTGTCTGTATCTGAGAACCTAAAGCCTTGTTCAGACTAGGCGAGTATTTTAGTCGAGTACCGAGTAATTTAGTGGCTAGTGGTAGTAAACTACTCGCTACTGCACAGAAATCGTTCGCATTATGGTCCAGTAGAGTACACAAGTGAATATTGTTTTGTAAGATGAACAGGCTGCAACGCAATAGAGTGAATAAACTAATTAAGCTAATCGTAATGGCTATTTTAGAAGAGGTGGAGGTTAAACTTTCCTTTATGGTCCGTCGATTGGTACTCATAAATAAAAAGCTTTTTGCAAAAGTTCAAGTTGCGGAGACTCATGGTTTACGAGATATATTTTTTTAAAGTTTCCGTAAATATTAGAAAAATCGTCAAGGTAGACGTCACAGTTGACGTTTCAGGTTCCATTCACGGCAAGCGTGTATTTTGTTAGATTATATGTCATGGTTTTTTTCGAAATATATTTTATTATTTTAATATATTCACAGTTGTAATTAATGTGCATTGTAATTGTTTCGGTAATAAGCAAATATGTTGACTTTTTTACACAAAAAGTAACAAAATGTTGTTTATACTGTGGAACGGAACGTGAAATGACGCATTTTTTATAGCTTCTTTTTATCTGTCTGTAATAAACTAACTTTTTAAATAAGATTTAAATATAAAATAGTAAAATTGCTCGTGTTTTGGAAATAAAATTGTATAAATATTCGAAAAATATCGAAAACCGAATCAGGGCACCCCACTTTCCATCTGGTCTTGTCTGCCCTATCCCTAAAGTGTATATAAAAAACCGGAGGCGCGGAGGGAGAGCAGTCCTCGCCCGCTCTGACGGAGCAAGGAAACAGTGCGAGGCGAAGCGGGTGAGGCTGGTCGCCGATGCTGCGGAGCAGAGCACGAGTGACCGTGCTTCGGCACGCAAGGGCGGAAGGGCTGCTCTTGTCGTAGCGCCGGAGATAAGGCGGATTCAAACTTAAGCTCCCTTCGAGTTTGCCTAAATAATGCAGTTTTAATCTAAAAAATTAACCATGGATATCTTCATAACCATGGGGATCTGCGGCTTGGTGATGGTGCAGTAGTAAGTCCTTAAACCCCTCCCTCCTCGACTCAAAAATCGACGGACCATAAAGGAAAGTTTCACCGAATGTCCGAAAGTTGTGTGAATTTTCTGTTAACGAAAATACACTACAAATTCAGCGCAAAGATACCCATTTGAGAAGTGCCACTAATGAACTCGACTAATCAACAGGTTCGGACTTGTTTAGTCAGTGAGCCAGTGAGCAAGGACGCGTGGTGGGAGGCGCTACTCGCCCGAAAAAATAGAACAAAATGGATTGACTTGTCTAAATTATTTACTAACCTACTCGACTAAATTTTTGGTGTTCAGACACATTTAGCTACTAAATTACTCGGTACTCGACTAAAATACTCGCCTAGTCCGAACAAGGCTTTAGTTTGAAATAGCCTGCAGTCGACATTCTCCTGTGTGATTCCTTTTATCTATTAGAGTGTGATCTCCTCTTGCTTCCAATTCTTTCTCCATTATTATTAGCATCATAATACTAGTGTTTATATAATCTGTAAATTCAATGAGATTCAAGTAGGCAATATTAAAAAATCTTGCATTCCATAAAATATTTAAATATCAAAGATATTTAGGTTTCTCTTCTTTCGTGAACTTCTGTATGACTAAAAAAAAACTGATTCACGCTTTTGATCTAATAATGCCAGCGATATTCACTTGCAGGTTCGAGACAAACACTAAAGTTGTTCTGAAGTCATGTGCCATGTCATTACGTCACAATTTCCAAGAGTGCTCATATTTGGACAGCCTATTGATAGTTAGATACCATATATAGTTAATGACAACTGTCCTAAATTTATCTACCATGCGCGTTTAATGCGCTTGCTTATATGGCAGCTGAATCTGATCTAAAAAAATCCGTTACGGTAGATCAGTGATGGGCAAAGTACGGCCCGCGGAAGCACTTAATCTGGCCCGCCGAGAGTCTATCCATCCTAAAAATTTTAGTCAGCATTTTGACGCGTAAAATAATATCTGACGCTTATAATTGAAAATTTTCAAATTTTGAATGAAAGCTCCAATTCGTCAGGGGTGTTTTGAGCTTTCATTATCTCATAATTAACTTGCCATCATTTTAATTATCTCGGAAGTCTGTCACAGGTATTAGTTTATATATTGAAAAAAAAAAAAACATTTTTTTCACCTATCTATCACACGCCTCACGTCTCACACGCCTAACAAGGCGGCGTAAAAGTAAAAGGTATTTTGTTTATTAAAAAGTTTTAATACAAAATGTATTTTTGTCTATAATTCTGGCCCTCCTCTAGAATTTCTTAAACTTTGTAGCCCGCCATTAAAAATGTTTGCCCCCCATCGGGGGTTAGATTCATATTTATTGTAAAATATGGAAACAGGGTTTCAAAATCAGAACTCAAACACGCCTTTAAAGATTTAATATAAATAATTACAACGTAATTATTGATTTGTACATAATCATTGATAATAGTAGAAAGTAATTTTTTTATACAAATATAATGTCATTTAGTTGTGTTTACACAAATAGCCAGGTAGGTATTTATAAATACAGAATTTGAAAATAAGAACGTATTTAATATACAATGACGTAATAAAATTACAAATAAGAATTTTTATTAATCTTTCAATAATAGTAATATTAAATAGTAAATAAGGGGACACATCTTTTTTTTATCTATTTTTATTTTATTATATCGAATTCAAAATTTAACACACAAATTTGAACACTACGAATCGAAACGAAATATTGCACCTTAATACCAGTATTTTTACTTGAAAATAAAAAAACTTTATTAAGGGGCATGCTTTCTTTCGAAAATGGATAGTTCTAATATGTGATACAAGTTTTTTTATTTAACATTGACTACATACATTTAATACATGCAGTGAGAATAGTATTCACGGTACAACACAATAGTCGCAAGCGGGACGTGTCAGGAGTTCGAAGAGCCATCGAAAGTAAACTTCACTTGTACTGATTAAATACTATAACCGCGTTTTTTTTTTTTTTTTAATCATACCCGTTTTTTTTCGCTAGTACACTTCTAACGTGACTAAGCGACAATAACTGCTTGGTACATAAATGATAGGCAATGACCATATTCGATGCGCAAAAAAAATATATTTCTAGGTCTTTTAAAATCATTAGATTCTACTACAGTTAGATTCGTTAAAATAAATTTTATTTTCAGGTATTTCAACTTTAAATTAGTCTACTGTAAAGTTCACGCATTGTCGCTTAGTCACATTTGTCTTTCAAGCGTCGATATTAATGCTGTGATCCGAATGAAGTGAAGGCTGTGATCCGAATGAAGTGAAGCAAGTATTATTTATTCTCTAGGCCCATTTGACTGTGTACTTAAAACATTCCTGTCTTTACAGCAACCACAACTATGACTCGGTCGTTACAAAATTCACTTCTCAATCATAATCAGCTGATGAAAACGAATTGAAAGAAATAAATATAATATTTTTAATAAAATGAACGATAATATATTCACTTCGTTAACAAAATAAAACCTAACTAAGAGCACAAATTAAACCTAGCTACCTTAGAAAGCTACACCAGTTGGTAAACAACATGTTGTGAATGTTTTCGTTACGTTTACCGACAATCACAATATACCCACAATCCGTTTTTCATTCTTTAAAAATGTAATACTTGTCAATTGAGTCGTCTATTATCAAAGGTGGCAATCTGTATATTTGGACAAAAAAATGTTATTGATATGGCGATACAGATTGATTTGAATATAATCGTCTCCTTCAAAAAATACGATTAAAAAACCTGCATTAAATAAAGGTTAATACTTAACCTGTTATTTATCTAAGATGTCGTTCAGAAGAGTTTTATGACTGCCAATGGAATACAAAGTCAATAATTCGTTTTTCTGATTTACCAATAATTGTCCAAAAGTCACATTGCCGGCTTTGATAATAGTCGACTCAATTATACTATCTTGATTTCTGTTCACATATCGAATAGACAAACTAGATCGAATACATTTTTACGGTTTAATTTCATATAAGTTTTCATAACACCGTTTCCGACATTTTATTATTAGTTGAAATTGAAACTGTCAAAATACTTATATGTAGTTACTAAATGTAAATACTTTCACTTATGAAAATTGTAATCGGAAAAAAGAAAAAAAAAAACACGACAAACTAACGACACTAAAACCGTAAACGTATTCAATTAGTCGACATTTTTACGAAAAATTATTATTTTATTCCAACTATATTTTACCTTTTTTAATTTAGTTTTTTTTTTTTTTTTTATTTAAGTTACGTCGTGATCTCCGAAGCCGTTCGCGAAAACAAAAAAAAAACGTCCCATCAATAATTATTACAACGTAATTAATGTACTAAATATAACATTATCGCTTTGCTAGCCACTCACTTATAGCAACCCGGTATGTATAGTAAGCAATAAATACAGTCTTATTTTGTCCCTATCGGAAAATACTTTTGTAGGCTCAGCTGCGAACCGATTCGAACAGTAATGGAGGATGAAATTGAAATTTATATTTTTGTCGAACTACTGGACGAAAGCACGTATAGGAAACTAAGTTTTGACACTAACGTCATTTATAATTTACTCACGATACATATTAAACGAATATTTTATTTATATTGTTTATATTTTCTATTCATAGCTATTCTTGAATGCGATTACAACTTTGTATTTTATTAGTATAATAATAATAATAATAATTAGTTTTTACCTTAAACTATTACATTAAAAACAGAATTCTAAAACTATGACGATAATCAGCTGCATAACGGTTCTCTTAATAGACAGCATTCAAAATTAGCATGAAAAAACAATAGTATTCAATTAAAATTTGCACTAATATTTTCACTGTTGTCTTTCGATATCATGTTTAAACACACTGTACGTTCTATAATACTTCTATTTTTATTTTATTTTATTATATAATATAAATAAATGTATAAAAATATACATTCAGAGCAGTCGCAGACGACTCCATGTCCGAAATGTCTTAACCCAGAGAGTACTCGACTCCACCATTCAAATTCGGAAATCTTATGACAACCAAAATATATAGGTACTGATTTAATTCATAGAAAAAAAAATAGCTGTTACAGACTAAACAATTATAAAAGTCTATGTTTATGGTAAATATAGTTAAAAATTAAAACATATTATAATCTATGTTTGTTGTTGACTCTGTTACAAACTAAAGCAATCGAATGCGACAGCTCTTAACAATGCACTTTAATATTAATCAACACAGATTTAACTCTAAAAAAAACAGTACTCTTTTAAATAAGTTACATCTCTTTAAAATGTGATATTTTACGTTTGAAAACCTGTCGAATGATATCAAATCAGCACTGAATTGTGCATCATATTTACTTGTGATTTTATTAATTTGAAATCATCATAATTTCAATAAATCAAATTAAAACCATCTCTCTTTATAAGCTCTTGTGATTTTCCTGAGATTCTTTTGAATGAAATTATATTTTAATTATCAATGACAAAAAAAAATAGCATGTTTTTAATTTTTAAAAAATCCTCCAACGTAATAACATTCCAACATAATTTCCATGAGACTAGCAGAAAAATAAATACTTTCTTGTTTTGTACCCTAAACAATGTTTATTAAACTTAGCACTTTAAAATTATAAATTAAAATAATAATTAAAGAAAAAAAAAAAACATTTTTATGTCGATAACAATAAAATGAAAACTGCAATAACAGTGCCAGCTTAAAAGCTGCGAATACAAGCTTAACTTAATGCGTTTTCAGAAGAGAAAAAAAAACATTTAAAAAATATGGGCCTATAACAGACTGCGATGTCATAATATATTAATTTAAAATGAACACAGTAATTAGTAGAAACGTCGGATACGTTTTTCCCGTACGTAGAATGAAAACGAAATAGCACCGAGTATACACCGACAGAGGGGGGAGAGAGAGAGAGAGAGAGAAAGAGAGAGAGAGGGAGACGGGGAACCGTCAGAAAGCGTAGCGGTAGTACCGGTGAGGTTTTGTGAACTTACTGTATCGCACAGCACTTACACTTGGGCTTCTTCCTTATGGTCACGTGTTCGGGCTGCTGAGGCTCCTGTGGGGGAGAGCGCTGAACTTCCACCGGACCGGCGCGTGCCTCCACCACTGCCGCGCCATTCTTTGTTCCGTTCATTGCTTTCGGAGTGGTCTGTAGTACCGGACTTGCCACTTTCGTTTGTGGAGACGCAGGGAGACTGGCCTGGAAACGATTTCGAAATATTTTTTATTGCACATAATAATAGGCTGTTCTGTTATTGAACGTGGTGAATTGAAAAAAAAAAATTTTTAGCTGTTTAACCTATTTCTGCCGTTAAGCTGTCATCTATATATAATATCAAGACGAATTGCTGTTCGTTAGACTCGCTACGATTGTAAACTCGATTCGATAAGTAAACTCGAGAACGGCTGGACCGAGTTGGCTAATTTTGATCTTGAATTATTCGTGGAAGTCCAGGGAAGGTTTAAAAGGTAGAAAAATATGAAAATCCTCGGAATTAAATAAAAATAACTATTTTGTTTTTCCTTTGATGTGTCCCCCTTCGGACGGATTCATTTTGTTTGTTTTAAGTTTATTTTATACAAAAGTTTAGGTCTTTTATTTATTGATTGAGGCACTACGAAGTCTGCCGGGTCAGCTAGTTCCTTAAGAAAATTTAGTGTATCTTTAGTGTTATTATTTCTCGATTGAGTTAGGGGTGATAATTTGGACTAGGAAGGCAACGAATAGATAGGACTGGAGAGATTTACTGGACCAGCCTAAAACCCACACGCGACTGCTATTTCTCAGATTATTATATCAGAATTGAGCCTAATGAGTATAATTGAAAAGATTTATTTAGACAAATGATTTGAAATAAAAATCGAAATTGAAAAAATAAAATCGATTTTTGTGTAAATTGTTTCGCTCGAGTACTGACTTTACCCAGTGAATGCTTTCCGATGATGAAATACGTTTTTATTAATTCATTGGTTACAAACTCGTTCACCGATAAAACAATTAAATTAATGTTGTTAATTTCATCTTTGAAAAGTTTTATTTTCAGATATTTTATCAGTGCAAAGCGAATGAAAGCAAAAATATGGTAACGTTCGGCTTATCGTTTAGACACAATGTCGGTTGTTGGATAATATTTTATTTTACTTCGATTCAAAATTATTAATACAAATTTCAATTTGAAAATTGTACTGCACCTATATTAAATTTTCTATTGAATACCACAATTGAACTTTGAAACACTATTCACAAGAAAAATATAGATGCACTTTTTTTTTGTGTACACAAAATCCTTCTAAGATATATACATATAAACGCGAAAGTTTGTAAGAATGTATCGATGTATGTTGATTATTCTTTCATGCAAATACTATTGCATGGTTTTTGCTGAAAATGTACAGTAATATATCGTTATGTGTCAAGTAAATAGGAAAAAATCTGCAATCTGCCAGCTATTCTGGCGTGCGCTGCAAAACCCTTTAGAGTTACGCGTATACAATATACCATGGAAATGTTTATCTTAAATAGTGCTACAAAAAAGTCCGCGACATTATTGTGAAAATAGTGAACTAAATACAGTAAAAATTGACAATTTATTTCTAACGTACATTTGGTACAAAGAAATTGATCCTTATATCAAAATAAATACTTTTATCGCATCTGGTATTTAAAGTAGATAAACTTTGTCTTTTACACTACATCATTTGGACAAATAAAATTCCCCAAATAAAAAGTGGTCACTCGGTAATCGAAATTCGACTATAATTAATTGAAATTATCAGTTTGTAACACTATTATGATTCTATTGTCAAAGATTACTTATTATACTTCTATAGTCACATATTTCACTAAGACTACACTTTAGACAAATATTAATGAAGACAAACAATATTTCATTTATTCTCAATTCGACCACAGACTATAAGCAATAAGAAGAGTTTGACAATAAACAAATAGTATGTAATGCATGCGTGTGTGTGTCAAATGCACGGTAGAATGTGTAATGCTTTTTATATTGGTTTAATGTATATTTTATGCATAATTTAAGAAAATATTAACATTGCACTCCTTCTCTATATTCTCTGTAAGTGTGGGAAATTTCACACTCCTCCGTAAAAAGGGGTCTAAAGTTTTTGCTTCACGTATTAATATATAGATTATTTGAATAGTTACGATTATAAACGACAAAAAACCCAGTGCGTGATATTATGATGCGGTCCGGGGGCGAGTGAACGGAAAGGGCGCGCGGGCGGGGGCAGGAAGTAAGACGGACAGATGTTGCTGAAATTGTATCCGTAATGCGACTTTCAAGGCACTAGTAGCTCAGGTTCAGATTTGTATACGAGAAAATTTAATAAATTTATTAATCACATTATAGTCCCATTTATAATTTTTGAATCTTAAATATCAAGGTCAACTAAAAACTTTAAATAACATTTTTTTCCTTGGGATCCTATATATCTTATCTATCCTGGATATTAGGTCAAAGTGATAAGATTGTTGTATTGTCATCGGTCCTTTATACGTGAACAAATTACCAAGTAAATCGGACGTCTTGAAGTTTTTGAAAATTACGTTCAAACATTCCGTTATATAGATATATATAAATATAGTTCAAGCTAGTACAATAATGTTAAAGAGGGCCAAATCTACGTTCAACCCGTACAATACGTAGCCAAAATGTAACTAATATTATAGTAGTTGTATATACACATCGACTAACAAATTTGTGTAAAATAGTTTCAGTAAGATTCAGTTCGTTGGACTCATATACATTGAAGAATCTACGTATTAGCCGACATTCTTATGAACAACCTAATCATAAATGAAGTTGATGAATGAAGACAATATATTATTATTGCCGTTGTAACTATACTGCGACTTTAGAACTTGTATCTCAAGGTGGGTGGGCGCGTCTACGTTGTAGATGTCTATAGGCTCCAGTAACCACTTAACACCAGGTGGGCTGTGAGCTCGTCCACCCATCTAAGCAATAAAAAATAAATATTTTCAGAGTTATGTTCATTCTATATTAGACGTATATTTTTGTACAATGACGTCAACATTCAAAAGGGTTATATAAATCAATCACCCCTGGTCGTTTTACAAACACATACACGACATCAATAAACGTAGTTGATGTAATTCTTCAGTACAATAGATCAGGGGGAATAAAGACTAGAGTTAGAATAGGAACAAATCTAGGATATCACAATACTTTTGTTGAGTTATTAGATTTAATTTTGCTGAACTGAAAATGACTTTTATTTAGAGTTTAAGAACATTAAATAGTTAATAACTATATTTTATTTTAGTCATCAAAGTTTTGTAACTCATTAAAGATATTAAAAAGTTAATTACCTAAAGCCAGGTACCTAACAACTAAATAGTGCCAGCCCTTTTGAAAAACTCTATTGTCCCCATACGTAACCTGATTCACCCCAAAGCCAAAGTGAATCGGGTCAGCTAGTGTTTTTTCAGTTTTTGTATATATTTTGTACTGAACTATGTACGAGTATAATAACGCATTGTATATAAAAATTTATGAATCCGGAACCATTTTAATCTCAAAGTTATTGGTATCACCCTAAGAAAAACAATTGAAAATTTGTGTTGGATTTGGAAATGGTCCCCATACCCCCCAATCTACATAGGGTATACGATATTTTACAATCGCTTACGTTAACATTATTCGCTTCAGCCTTTTCCTCCTTGTGTTCGTCAGTCGGCAACTGTGGAGCCGCGACCGGTGGAGTTGGAGTGATGGGCTTGCCGCCCTTGATGAGCGAGACTATCTCGTCCGCTTCACGGCTCAAGTCGCCATCCGGACGGAACGGATTATCCCATCCGCTCTCCGTACTTGAAACAATAATTTTATTATGTTATAATGGCGATACATTTATTATCACGGCCAATAAAATAAAAATAGTTTAAAAAAACTAACAAAATACGCTTTTATAGAAAATCCAACTAAAGAATAATAAATAAATTTTAATAAATTTTAATTAAAAATAGTGTAAGAAAAAATGATTTTATTGTAAAAAAACGTGGGGTGATTTTCAGGATATTATCAAAATAACCCTTCTACTCATATCTGTTCATAAAATATTTATAACTACTGATACCATGCACCCCACGCTTTTTTATTTTTTTGTTGGATTTTCTTTAAAAGCGTATTTTGTTTGTATTATTTAAACTATTTTTTTTTCATTTTTTAGTTGAATTCCAATTGAAAAAAGTTGCAGAAAAGAAGACTTGCAAACAAATACTATATTGGCATATATGGGATCCAAAATGATCATATATGTACATATTTTTACTTTAATATTGTATTTTTATCTCGTTTCCTATAAGAAACCAAACATGTATATACGCGTCAGTACACACTTATCAATGCTCAATTGTTATTCAATAGCTGAATATAAACAATTCCGTTCGTCTAAATTGAAACACATCAAAACATCAACGACAACATTATATCGCGTCACAATACGATCAACGATTCAATTGAATTTGCAGACGACTCTGATTGGACATCATACATGATGCATTGTATGAATATGTCAAATGATGGATGACACTCAAGGCCACAAAGATTATTCAAATTTGAAATAAAACTGAAAATTGTGATCGAAATTTGAATTTGAATAAAATTTTAAAATTTAAATACGTTTAATAATATTTATCTAATAGGATCATCTTGTGAAAATTACAGGAGCAAACCGATTTTGAAGTCTTAAAGAAACTCTATTCATACACCACGATGTTTGTAGTATAGATTTATAGGCGCCTTATTTCTTTTATTACCTAAATTTGAAATGTAATTAATTACCGGAATACTAAATTATCTTAGTTCCCCTTATGAACCATTAGGATTATACTCCAAACACATGTAAAAACATTACATTATCAAACATTACTACAAACCTATAAGTAACGTGTTTTACAGAGATTGTTCAGTCCTTGTTAAGAATGGAAGAGTTAAATAATATTTAAAAAAACGCTACACTAGCTTTTTCGCTGCACAATGGTCATTGGTGTTTATTCAAATTATAGTGAATACGAACATCCTCTTCGAAATGTGAACGTGAATAGTCACAACGCATCACCTTTTACACTTGTCAGAGGGTCTCAATATTACGTAAGCGCAGAAGTATTTTTCTAAACACAATAATACCCACGTTAACGCCTAAACGTTATAATACACTAGATGACATCACTGTATTGTGTACATAAAAGTACTAGAATCTATTACGTTTATGTACACATCGTTACGCTTTTATTTTTCAAAGATTTTCGACCATAACACGTAGATGGTGTACGTAATTTCAAAAAAAAAAGCCATCACGTTAACGTTCCAGCCATATTCATTTACATACTAGTACATTCAAAAACACTACACTTTCTTGATATCGTGTAGGACTTCAGTAATAGTTTAGAATGAGGCTTAATGGAATTACTCTGTAACAAGAACCGATGGTTATCACTGTTTTTCCTTTTCTATATAATTTCGAGTGAGACCCATGATAATTGATAAACGCCACAGCGTAAATCGCCCTGTCCACTTTTGACACATTAGTCTAAATTTCTTGAGATAAGAATACTAATCTGCTTTATACAAACACAGACAACTCCGTGGAAACAACATATTTTTTAAGGATAAAAAAAAAAGTTTGATAAAACTCTTTTTTACGTAAATTCGACACTCTTATACGTATCAGATAATCGCTGATAGGGAGTTAACGTTCTGAAAATAGAACGAGAACAGAGCACACTCCCGCAATGCATCATTCGACATATTACGCACATCTCCACATTTTCTGGTTAGGAATCATAATTATAATTATTTTTACAAAAAACATATTTCAAACTATTACTTAATACTTTTAGAAGGACATGTTAAATACCTTATTTTTATTTACAGTCACCTAAAATAGTAGGTGCCCTTGAATTGTTGAATTCGAATCAATGATCGCCCCTTTAATAGTTAATATTTATATCGTCTTAAAAAAAACCTTTTAATTAGATAATACTTCGCTCACAAAAGACGAAGGGACTTTACTTTTAATATTTTTACGTTAATTCTATTTACATACTACGGTTCTTATTTGTTTTTATCTATGTAGTTACTGACACTAGTATTATGAATTGTCACAATAATATTGTATCCGCGTACATTTGATAACGAATATTTAACTATAGAGTTGAATTCATCATTCAATCGCACGATGCAGTCCGTCTCGTCTCGGTGACGCACTATGTCTATGAAAATATGCTCTTCCTTTTTTTTAAATTGAATTTAAGAAACATTCAAATTCAATAACGGTAGGTAACAAAATAAATTCCATTAGAGAAAAGATCGCGCGATTTCAAAGAATGATTTTCTTACTCGCAAATTTCATGAGCATTTCACAGTAAAACAGCTTAGCTTCAGAAACAAACATTGTTTAGATAGAAGATACTGCTTGAGGCTTACAATGCTTTCTGTTTTAATTATGGACTAGACGTTGTTTTTCTTAATCATATTCAAGTTATTTTTGTTTATGTGCTTTTGAGTAAATTTGATAAGTTACTTAGCTAATTTTGAATGGGTAATACAAAAAGATACTTTTTGGTTTTTCCTTTGCAGATTTGATTTAAAAAAAAAAGCTGTTATAACTCCTATTAACTTCCTAATCTTCTGTAATTTTTTGAAACCATTGAAAATTATTATTTTTTCCGTCGCGGCTTCATTACACGGACTAGAACACGCCGCCATAGACACAATCGCTTCCTGAAATAGGCTGAATTGGGTTGCCGCTTACCTAATCTGTCTGTTGTACACAGCGTTATCCGCCATATCGTCGCTGACTGTGGACAGCAGGGGGGGGTATAAAATGTAAGAGTCCTGCTCCGCTGTAGGAGGCGGAGACAGACACTGCGGTCGTGCCCCCTGGTAGAACGACACACGTACTTTCGAACGCTCCGAACTGAAACAAAAAAAAATAACCTGAGACGTGTATACTCAAAACAAATATTTAGCGCGTTAGTTTCTTCGAACTATACAAGTGCCTTCGCAGCTGCAATGAAAGTTGATATAAAATTCCTTCTCAAAAATGATTTAGGACATGCATAACCATAAAAGAAACCTGATACCTGAACGTGCACCAAAGTTATAATCGTACTTACTGATAGTACAGTGATCATGAGTCGTCAACAAAAAACCATTATGTGAACAATAGTATATTATTACGTAGACCATCCCTCGTCTGTCATACAATAAATACTTAAACGCTTAAAACGCAATCCGCTCAATAAAAATACAAATACAAAAATAAAAATATAAATACAATAAAATTTATGCATGATATGTATTTGTATATTATGATAAGTACATATTATGCAAACACTGTTTACAAGGATACTATGATGACAACAGAAGATTGAATAAACCTTCATGTATACATAATAAGATTTTCGATTTACATAAATTCAAGGAATGCGTTTCAAGACTTAAAATATTCTGACGTGTTGAAGAAATTTAAATACGATTTCATTTACGTGCGACAGCATACTTTGAAAGAATCAAAAGTGCGCTAAAAAAATTAATGGCGTAAAATCATGTTCTTCACGTAATCTCCGATTTTTTTTATTCTTTATTTTCGTGGCTTTATATAAACAAAAAAAAAAGAAATACAGTGCGAATTGCTTAATATGATGCACTTACGACATCACCCGATTGCGATATTATTTTTCGAATTTAATAGGCGCTCGCCACAAGTCGTCCTACGCTTAGACAATAATAATAAAATTAAAGTAAAACATAGCACCAATAAATGAAAAAGAAAGGCGACACAAATTAAAACAGATTTGCAAATGAAAAATTTAGCAGGAAACATACATATCTGAAGTATACAGGACGTTATGTAACTGATAAAACAAGCATTATCTAAGTTATCAACGAAATGTGAAATAAGGGAGCATAACAGCATGCGTGCAAATCATAATAGGTAACATTAAAGATAAAACCATAAGTCCTCCAAGTTCTTATCATTTTTAAATGCAAACATAGTTTTAAATGTGTTGAAAATACAATATTACTTTTAACTGTCTCGATCTAAAACTGCTTTAATAGTAAACAAGATTTCTTGAAATAGATCTATCAAATTCTGATTATTTCAGCCAATATGATTACTTGAGAAGAAATTTAATTAGAAAATTAGAAGTTTACTAATGAAACAATCGGTGTTGGAAAAATTTTCATGACAAAATATAACTTTGTTTTATTCTGTTTTAGCTCAAACATGAAGTTCGCTTTGCAAAAATATACAGCGCTGCAGCACAAAGCATAATATGATAAAAACCCAAATGAAATCCAATCCTGGACCTCTTATTAGCATAGATGGACATTCACGGCCCACCACATTAACATTGAAGATGATTCAATGACAACTGTTTTATTAGTAGATGACTGCGTCCCACCCACACAGCACTTATGTTCACTCTAGAGCATTTGGATAATTTGTTCATGTTTTTTGAATGTTACTTGTTATTTGCAAAGTATGTTACATGATGCTTGAGAAACATTAATTCAAATGTAGGGTGCTTTTCAAAGTAGCTGCCAAAGCTGATAGGAATTTGTGATGCCTATCAGCAGACCTTGACATATGCTATACAAGTTTCAATTTTATTGAATGGTAGTAGCATCATAAAGCATCTTGTCTATTTCTGCGATACAGTATCCTACTCTATGGTATGATTATAATATCTATGTAATGAGCAATACATCCTACCATCAGTAAAAAGGCATAATTTCATTAGTAAAAAATAAATTATTGTTGATTACATTCGACAGTATATATATTTTATTGTGTCATATGAAGTCTATATGAAATATGAAAAGTATAAGGATACTATACTTACTTATAATACTATGATATTTAAAAAAAACATATATTGGAAAAAAAAAAATATTTTCCGATTTTCATACTAATATAACATACTTCAAGTAGAAATGTGATATCATACCCTTTATTGTGTTATTGAGGCGAGTAGAATGACTAACATCATCAGTGTAATTGACAAGGACTCAAGGTTGCAAATAATGTAGCTTGCGATTCACTCCGAAGTTTGCATTTTGTGATACAGTGATACTGTTAATAATATTATTTTGTAGATATTATTTGTTAATATGTTAACAATTTCATTAGTATGTCAGCGTTTAACTTTCCCATTAAATTATTATTTCTAGTTGTATTAATTAGATTTCTACATTTTTGTTATGTGCAAACTAAAATTAAACAGCTGTAAGATTAGCCATTGTATTAAATCTTATTTGTAGCTTAATGTAGAACTAGTAACTATCAGATAACTAGATTTTTATTGCCATTGTATTAAATTAATTACAGTTGTATTATAAGAGTAATAGAGGTCATTAACTAAAGTGAACTAGAAATACGTGTTAATTTCTAAGCTTTATTCCTTATCATAAATTATGATTACTCTGTGTCTTACTTAATTATTGTAGAGTTTCTATTTATCTGTTTTATATGGAATGTTTTTAAGTTGCAGAGTAAGTATTGGAAATTAATTACTAATTATTTTCATGGGCTCCGTGTGGTAATAATAATGGGAAATATTAGCATAAATTTCAGATAGCCCAGTGGAGCCCTGGGTTTTTGATAGCAACTGCTGCAGATGTTGGGCATTAAGTATGCTAAATTAATGACATTAATAATAAGACAGCGAGTCATCGACACGGGGCAGAGCGGCCTCGCTGCAGCGGGCATTGGGCGGGCCCTGACTTAGGGGAGCCGATCATTCATTGACATTATAAATAGAGCGGTTCAACTAATGCCAATTCATGTTTACTACACGTATACACTGAATTATGACCTTGTAATCCCGGCTGCTGGATGGAACCGAAAGTCGTTTCGTGTCTATAAATCAGTTGTCATGACGTCATTGTGACCGAATTATCCGTACAAAATCACTACATACCGAAAGGACAATTATTATTCGACACGCCCGTGTAGACTGTAGGCCCACCAGTGACATGCACTCAATAGCCCCGAGCCGTTTTATTTTATTTTTCTCTCATTTAAAATCCAACGTAGGAGATCAACTGGTGAACACCCAATTCTCACCAAAACAATGACGTGATAATTGTAAATAACATACCTTAAAAATGCACAATCACAAAAAATCACTGAACACTTGATTCTGCTAACGGTGCACTAATTGTAAATTTATTTTTACATAAAGCGATCGAATAAAAACATCGGCGCAATTATTGCAGGGCTTCGTTTATTCAACGCTTCGAAACTGTTTCCCCACTACATCGATCTCGCGGAAGTCGCGCGCGGCTCCGGCTCCGTGGCGAATGGAATGGAACGAAATAGAACGAAAGAACTGCGCCATTCGTTCCCATGAAGTGAGTCAGTGACGTCATTCATTCGACGGTTCGTTAAATTTATTTCGTTATCACATGTTGAAGAATTATCCTTTCCTTCTTTAATGCAACGAATTTTAAAAATCATACACGAAACAAATCTTCAAATTATTGCGCGTGTACTTGCATGCATGCATGTGTAATATTATCCACTGTTTAATATTTATTAACCCCTATTTTAATGATGTACCACTTTCAATTCCATATAAGAAATTCGTTTCTTAATATATTATTATAATAATATATTATTATATAACATATATAATTATATATTTCATTCGATAAAAAAATTGTAGGTGCTATTGTGTCATGAATTGAGTAAATTCTGATTAATCTAGAAAGTTATTTAAAATCGTTTAGGTGTGTGATAATTTCTATAGCTTTCGTGTGTCTGAGTTTATTAAACAAGATTATAGTTCAATGTTTGTGCATATCGAGTGGTGAAAGGCGATTTGGTATAAGCGACATTTATCTTTGTAATTATAAGTCGTTTTATTTGGTATTAGTATCAACAATTCGATGTTTTTTGTTTACCCCATTCAAATAGCTGAAAAAGATTTTTTTTAAAACTTCAAATGGCTCTCCTGTAAAGTTACAAAAATGTCGCTTAAACTAAATAGCCTTTCACTCCTCTATAATACATGTAATGATTTCTTTTTTATTATTTTCTCGTTTCATCTTGTAAAATATTAATAATACTCTGTTAATTTGAACTCGTCGCGGCTCAAAAGATAAAACGCCTGGTGTATTTGTATTGAACGAGCCGATAATGCCGGGTTTTAATTCTGCAGGCAGATACCAATATTTATTATAAAATTATATTGTTATAAATTATGTACGTTGCGAACGAATTCGACGATAATGTATTAATATGAACGAATTCCACGATAATGTAATAATGTATTAGTTTTTTTTTTTTAATTCTTTGATTCACGTCAAACTGTCATTTTTGATGTAACTTGATCTCCGTTCATTTTCTCCATTTCATTACTCTGAAAAACTAAATTGACTTTTATCTAAGGGGTTCAAGAAATCATAAGTACGCTGGTAAGGTGGTAGAGGAGGCATAAATCGGGAAAATCCTTCTTACATAATTAAAGAACAGCCCCTTCACATCTCAAATAAAGATATTATTACACATGTAGTTTATTTAATCTATAAAAATAAATTTAATTAATTTCATAGGTAATAGTTTAATATAGTTGTACTTTTGATGGAGTTATTTCAACAATAAAAAATTGAGCATCTTTGTGGTGTATGATTCCATGTATTGGAATAAAGTATGAGAGGAAGTAGTTACGAATGCCATTTCCCAAAGCCATTATTCTGAAATTTGTTCTTAATTACCTTAAATTATATTACCGAGTACGTGCACCTCTGCACGGTGTAGGTATATTAAAATTTACTAACGCTAACCCTGTTATAAAAGAGAACCTGGTTACCAATTAAACTGCTAATGATATTTATTAATGACTAGCTGACCCGACATCATTCGACGACACCCGACTTCATAGTGCCTCAATCGATAAATAAAAGACC